TCTTCTAACACGCTTTTCATCATCGAAGTGATCATAAATCGCAGTGACATTTACAAGCAAATAGAATCTGCAAAATGATCAAATGATGTGCACACATGCATACAAATTCATAGAATTCATGTGGAGAGGTGATATCAAATTAATTTAAGATGTGCTTCTTTCAGGCTCTCTGCAATAAATTTCATCCGTTGAGTCGTTTGGTGAACGGTCTAATTGAGGTGTTCACATCCTCCTACAGCAATATCGGCACTCATTACGCACTCTACGCAGAAGTGGTACATGAATTCAGCAGTATCATTGCGAGACTCTATGCAGTCGTCAGGTAGAGATTCATTTATATGATGTGGTGCATATTCATCAGATTTTCCACTCAGATAGTCCTCCGTGTAAGCATCTCTTAGTTTCACGTAGCATGCACACTGTTAAGATTTCTTATAGTTGAGTAGTTTCAGTTCCGTATGAGTCAAATGCATGTATTCATCCGAAAACACATTCACAGGCAGCTACTGATTTCTAATCGACCATATGCCGTCATTATACAAGAAATCAACATTGCTTAGGATTTGGAGAATTTGTTTGAAATGTCAGAATTCACTAGTCAATTATGCATTTTCAACACACAATTGGAAAGAATCACACAAAACTGAGTCCAATAAAATTGATTACCACAATTCAGTACGCTAACCAGAAATCATGAAATTACAGTCGTATTCAACAGTAAATCCAAGCACATCCCCTCCCCCAAATTGCTACTAACATAAAAATAACATTTAATATGTTTCGAATGTTGAAATGATGACCTGTTGAAATTTATTAGTAAGCGTATGGACGGTTTATATTTCTAAGTGTTTGCTTGAGTATAAGTAATATGTACAAATGTAGATAAACCTATGGTGTTGCTATGGGGATTCCGTGGAGTAAATTTCATCATCAGATAACTATAAGTCAAAATCAAAATTGTAGCTCATCATTACGATGAGCACGTACGTCATCAGTAATAACACCATCAACATGAAAAACATTAACATAACAATAACAAGGCTATGATGACAACGATTACACAGCCCTTGGCATTAAACGTAGTCATCGTTGAGGTGAATATCCAGTAGACCTTATTGATAGTGCAATGTACTCTACTACGTGCAATTGATACGTGTTTGATGACGACGATTAGTTTGTGATCGGTGGACTCAATACCAATGGTAACGCATCAAATAACTTGATGCATGAATCTATTTTTGAATTCATTAAGCATGATGAAAATTCATTGCTGATGAATTGAACCATTAGAAAAATATGCATATGCTGCTTGATTTTTGATAGACTAACGATAAACTCTAATGTCGTGTGCAACTGATTTTTGTAAGTGAGCAGTTCAGTTGATCTAATTGATCAGTGCTTATCAGCAAGATGAAATAATTTCTGAAAGCAAAATATTAGATGACTGAAAGCGAAAGTTCGCTGACTGTTCTATTGGTGGTGAAGAAAGCATGAAACCGTTTTCGTCGAACTTAAATCCATATCCTTTCAAAGAGTCGATGCAGCCCTTCAAAATTACAGCTCTTAAGAATTTTTAGTTCGAATTTCTCTAGTATAAGTAGGCAAGTTTCATTTCGGGGAATTTCTCTTTCAAATATGAAAATTTGCTATCAATAGAATCCGATCACTCACTCTGTACATTTTGAACTGTTCAGTGTTGTTATCAATTTACAAACTGAGAATATTTACTCGATTAGTATTGCCATTTATGCAAAAGTGAACGCAGTAAAGTGCGTAATATGTAAGATGGACTGAATCGAAGAAAACAGACACTGTCTATCAGAATCAAGCGAAAAACTGAAAAATCTAGCACAATAAGTAAGTCCCTCTTTCCGCAGTTTATTTGAACAACTTGATGAACTTTTCGTTTTTTCGAATTCTGCAAAAATCTTTGTGTGAGTGTGTATGAAATGAGATTGATTCATTTGCACTGCAGTGTGACACCAGCAAAAATAACTTTCGATGGGTGCTTGTGCACTTTGAGGTTGTTCGTTTTGAGTTATTTTTACGAATGAGCCTTTCGAGATTTTTATTTTGCAGTGGCAATGCACTAAGTTATAGTAGAAAAAGTTGTCTGTTGGCACTCTTAACGAGTCTATTGAATGAGACGCCGTTTTTGATGCATGCTTGCATGTTTGCAATAAGATAAGTCATCGAACTCGGTACATTTCGAAACGAAAGCACTCGCAAACTTGCGATCAGTAGTGTGAAGTCAATACACTTTCATTAAACTTCATTTTATACAATTAAGTACCAAACAGCTCATTCATTACACATTCACTTCAAAGTCGTAAAAATTTCTCATTGTCAGTGAATTCTTTCGACTGCTTGCGAAAAACATCTCGTTGGGTTTTTTGAGTGGGGCTACAGGAAAAGAGAGAAAGGGTTGAGAAATACAGAGATGGTTTTAACGGAATTTTACGGTCTTGATCTGGTCAAGATCAAGAGTGTGCGATGGCAAATTTAATTTTGACAGAGTAAATATTTATGAATTTACTGGAACAATGAGAGGTTAGAATTGATGCAAATATAAGAGGCAATGCTGGTAAATTGAAATTTTTGAGTTTATATTTGAGCAAGAATGAATTCCCATGCATTCATATGTCGTGCTTCACAACTGGTTAAATAAAATCTTGCACGTTATCGCCTCAGTGCATTATGAATCACAAATATCCCTTCAGTGCATTATGACTACTTCAAGATTACATTAATTCATGAACCTATGATTGAATAATGAAAGTGAGTCTGGTCAATATTTCCTGTATTAGTAAGTGGAACTGTTCAAGAAATCATGCAGTCTAAGCATTCCTAAAACAGTTACAACTAAACCCATTCGTTTAGAATTATTAAGATTCGATAGGAATTTCTTAGAGGCTAAATTGCTCATACGATTCATTCGTTCAGCGCAATTGAATTTCTTCCGAATACATGTGCAAAATCTGTTATGGTTCTTGTTGGTTTCGAGGAAATTGAACAGATTTTAAGTTTTTCCTCATGAAAACTTGAAACTATTAGGAAATTTTCGAATTTCAGGTGTTTTCAAACAAATCACGCCTAACAATAAATCCATTAAGTGATCAAATCTATAGGGTTTCCTCAAGTTGATAGTTGCCAATGATATCATTTCATCAAAATATTTGAGCAGCTCAGTTATGTGGGAAGTTTGCACAAATACTTGATATAATCGCCTTTTTGGCCGAGAAGAAAAGCATTCATTGAATTGACAGAAAGAAAACTTCAGATTTTGTTTACGGATACGTCTTTTCAGATTATTATTTGTGAATCTTCCGCCAAGCTGTGAGATGCATACTCCTGTACCAATATGCGTCGATCGTGTCCATACCTCATGCACAGAATCTGGTGCCGGATCATCCACTCCTACAGCATCTACCGTTTCGTTGAACTCACTTCTTGATTCGCCATCGCCTCGACGATCATGTGCCGTTGGGTAGGTGATCATCTGATTTGCTGCCATCTCCTGATTGTACTTTTTGAAATGTACTTTTCGAAATATACTTTTCGAAATATACCTTTTGAAATTGTACTTTTTGATATTGTAGTTTTTGAAATGAATATTGCTTTGAGAAGTTTTGAAAAAGTTTTGCAATGTTATGATGGTGGTAAGCAATTGATTCTCTGAGCTGTTGAAGTGTCATTCAACAGAACGTTTCAAAGACAACAAATGTGCAAACGGAATCCTAAAAATTCATCAGTTACCCATTGACATTCAACCGTTTCAAATTGATTTTTCAGTGATACCGTGAGATCATCTACGGCACATCATCCGCATCGTAGTTGTTCGTCACGTAGATCTGCGCAAGCGGAAGATCTGTCGGTTCTGACGCCTGCATGTGATTTCATTGTTGAGCATTTATTTGCGCAGTGTTATGCGATTCTGTTCACGATCTACTCGGTAAGCTGTGCCGAGGCTGATCGAAGATATTGGGACAGGGTGATGTTCTTGAATGCACACACCGACGTGAAACTACTCACTTATTTAGAAGTGAGCAGGTGAGTGTCTCTTCACAAACTCATTTCAATAATTTTTTGTTGTTTAGAAGCATTTTTGTCATGACACTGTTAATGTGGTGGTGGTGGAAACTGACGGCCTGTACAGATTGTGATGGGAATGCATCATATTAGTATCTGATTGAGTGTTACTAGCAGCCCTGACGTTTGAACAGCGATGAATAATTAGCATTCTTCCGATCCCTGATATCGTTTCCAGTTGATGATTTCTTTGCAAATCCATAGATCAAATTATTAGATCACAGAGCATGCAACGTTTACGAATGCTTTCGTGAGTACAAATGCGGTGGCATTAATTTTGTAAGGATTCTTTGGTTGGTTTGACGAGAAGCCTACAATTTCATTCGACTACAAACTAGTATCAAATAGATTACCTTTATCGACATGATGGATTACTGCTCAAATAGAACTATTCAAAAGAAGATTTGTGTTGCAATTGAAACACATCGCATCAGTTCACTCGAGTCATGTTGAACATTTATGTGAATGCACATTGTTTCCAATTTTTTGCAGTTATGATAGCGAACGTGACCTGAGGAGAAGCAATGTACTAAAGCGCTTACACTCAATCATGTTTTCCATGAGTACTTTATCTTAGTAACCTTTAGACTTCTATCTGAAATAATAGTAACCGTTGCCATTGAGTGTGCACATCCATTACTCGGGTCTACATTTGAGATGGCTGGAAGAACTCATGAACAAATTGAATCGCTTGACCTCATGTATTCGAAAATGACCTCAAAACTGACATGTTCAGTGTCATTTGATGATTGTACAGGAAGAACACATGAAAGAAGAACTCACCGCAATGCTTAATTCCAGTGATGTCAGTGTGAGAAAATAAGTGATTTCAACATTTTCTACTCGAACTTCTAAAACTAGTCATCACTGTGACAAACTAAAAAGTCTCACTCTATTTGCTGCTAAACATTTTATCAACATAAAATTACATTTTGAAAAAAATTTTTTGCAACCGTATGACGGAAAGTATTCTGTCGCGACGTTGCAAAATTGAAAAAAAAATTGTGATTCATTCGCTGATTTCTAACGTGTAACTTTGCAAAAATGATTTTTGCCTTTGCAAAAATTCAATTTTGTGACACTTTTAGGATATTTGTGTGGATCTGTGTGCGTTTGTGTGTGTGTGTGCATGAAATGAAACTGAATTTTGTGTGAAGAGAAAATGGCAACAAAATGTTGTGATTTGTGAGCGTGATGCAGATGATGGAAATAAGCAATCTTTACGGTTGATTGGTTTTGCACCGAAAAGTTTTCGGTATTTTTATGGAGGAAGAAATTGGTCCATTGGTGCATTAGCACTTTATTGTAGCTATTGTTAAGCATTGTTAACGCATTTTACTTACAGCACAGTGCACTTTGCAGACGATTCAATTTTGTGACACTTTTAGGATATTTGTGTGGATGTGTGTGCGTTTGTGTGTGTGTGCATGAAATGAAACTGAATTTTGTGTGAAGAGAAAAT